AGAAAATCATAAGCCTGTAAATCAGTATCTTTCGGTGACAATTTCCTTTTTTGCTATGGAACTCCTTGGAAAGCCTTCCAAATGAAGCAGCCTTCCGTAAAGTATCAGGGATACCAAGAAAGCCAACGGGATCTGAAAGTGGAGCCACAGATTTAAATCTCATTAGAGTAGCCTTTCGGGTTTGGCGAGATCTGGAGATGTCACTTTTCAGAACTATGGACATTTTCCAAGCAAGTAATTGGGTTTTTCTCTGGTCAAAGCTTAAACTAAGAACAAGCAACCTACTCAGTCACCCACAGGGGGCAGTCGACAGTCAGGTGAGGGTGAACTGGGCTCACAGGACCAGGGTTCTGGAAGCAAAGCTCCCGAGCCAGCCCTGGTTCTGTCTGAACCTAGTTGTTTGATTTGGACTAATCTCTCTCCCTCTCGTGGATGCTGTCTTGCACATTAGGGCGTCGATTCTATTTTACGAGGTACTTTCCAGAGCGCACGTCTCCACTGTCTTCCGTGCCTTTTAAAAAGCGAGCACTGAGCAGATGTGCAAAGCCAGAGTCTTGGGGTGAAACGTGGCATGTGACTCTTGCAGCTCCTGAAGGGCTATTCGAGGCAGTGGAGCGAGTCCAGCTTTGGCAAGGGGATCGCCTTCGAGCTTTGCATGCAATTTCCTTGCTCTAAAATGACCTGGTCGCCTCAGTAGCATGATTAATTTCGACAAAGGACCTGAAATAACTTTTCCTTTATCTGCTCTGACAAGATCTCAGACCCAACAGTCAAAGGACTTTCAAAGGCTGATTTCAGGCTAGATGCTCTCGACTCCTCCACCTGCGAGAGCCTGTGTGGTTACAAGAGTACAACTATGAATATTGCATTCTATCAAGGAAACAAACCGTGCAAAGAAACGAAAAAGAGTTGCTGGGGGGGTTGGGAAGAGGGAGGGGAACGGGAGGAAGTGCCTGTGGCCGCTTTATGATTCTAGAAAAGGGGTTCAGACTCATTTCGCTGACCTGGTTAATAATCCCTGCCGAGTTGACGCTCGCCCTGCAAAAACGGCTCCGAGCCCGCAGCCGGGTTTCTCTTCCCCCTGAGTCAAGTTCAAGGCTCCCGCCCCTCCCCGCCGCCTCCCCTCCCGGCTACCTGCGAGCCGCAGGGAACCTGCGCGGCCACGCCCCGTGCAGACTAAACCTTAAGGCACCGAGCTCGGGCCGCGCCTCCTCGGAGCGCCCTTTCCCAACTCCCTCCGCCTGGTGCAGGTTTCAGCTTTCTACCGAACAGGTGACCCGGGTGCTGTCGGTTTAGGTCCCCAAAGCGAAAGGCGAAACGCCTTAAGGGGTGGCACTTGGGCTGGTGCAGCAGGCCTGGGGCCAGGCACTGGGAGCCAAGATCCAAGGTCTCCCCAATTCACCACCCCCGTCTTGTTCCGACGCCCAGCAGTTGCCGCTCCCCGCCTGGCCCAGCCCGAGGGTGCGCTGCAGGGCCCACGCCCACGCTCTCTGCAACTTCCCAGAGCCCGCGCCCTGCAGGGCCAGTACCTGCTGGTTCCAAAAAAAAACAGATTAAGTTTAGCCAAAAATCAAACCACCGGTGGAAAGGCAGGCGGATAGACTTTGTCTCCACGGACTTTTGTGTGTGCGATGTGTGTGTGTGTGTGTGTGTGTGTGTGTGTGTGTGTGTGTGT